TTTTGGGAATTTTTGGGACTTTTTTGAGGTTTTTTTGTTTTTTTAGGGATTTTTTGAGTATTTTTTGGGGGGTTTTTAATGGAATTTTCTGGAGCTTTTTTTTCGGGAATTTTAGGAAATTTTTTAGGAATTTTTAGGAATTTTTGGGAATTTTTTTGGGGAATTCTGGGGCTCCCAAACCTCGAATTTTGGGCGGAGGCCGCAGTCGTCGGTGTCGGCCACGGGGACGTTGTAATATTCCCCCTCCTCCTGATTCAGCAGCTTGAACCTGGAATTCCGGGAATTTTTTGGGAATTCTTGGGAATTCCGGGAATTTTTGGGAAGTTCCAGCCCCAAAAATCCCGAAATTCCCGTAAAAATCCGCTCGGATTTCCCCAAAAAACGTCGGGAAAGGGGAAAAAATGAGAGAAAAATGAGGTTTTTCATGGAATTCCCGGATTTTTCTTGGAATTCCCGGATTTTTCTTGGAATTCCTGGGGAAAATCGCTCCATGAATTTCCAGCCATTTCTCCCGAAAAATCCCTGGAAAAATTCCCAAAAATTCCCCCCCAAAAAACCACCCCAAAATCCTGATTTTCCTCCCCAAAAATTCCCAAAGAATTCCCAAAAAAAACCACCCCAAAATCCTGATTTTCCTCCCCAAAAGTTCCCCAAAAATTCCCCCAAATTCCCAAAAATCCCAATTTTCCCAAATTCCTCTCCTGAGACACCAAACCCCCCCAAAAATGCCTAAAAAATTCCCAAAAACCCCCACAAAAATCCCCCCAAAAACCCCAAAAATTCAAATTTTTCCCCGAAAGACTCCCCAAAAAATCCCAAAAAATTCCCAAAAAAATCCCCAAAAATTCCCAAAAAATCAAAAAAAAATCCAAAAAAATCCCCCAAACATCCCCAAAAATTCCCAAAAAATCCCAAAATATCCCCAAAAAATCCCCAAAGAATCCCAAAAAAATCCCCAAAAATTCCCAAAAAAATCCCCAAAAAATCCCCAAAAAATCCCAAAAAATCCCCAAAAAATCCCCAAAAAAATCCCAAAAAAATCCCAAAAAATTCCCAAAAAAAATCCAAAAAAAATCCCCCAAAAATCCCCAAAAATCCCCAAAAATCCCCAAAAATTCCCAAAAAATCCCCAAAAAATCCCCAAAAAATCCAAAAAAAATCCCCAAAAAATCCCAAAAAAATCCCCAAAAAATCCCAAAAAATACCCAAAAAATCCCAAAAAAATCCCCCAAAATTCCCAAAAAATTCCCAAAAAATCTCCAAAAAAATCCCAAAAAAATCCCAAAAAATCTCCAAAAATTCCCAAAAAATCAAAAAAAAATCCCCAAAAAATCCCAAAAAAATCCCCAAAAATCCCCCCAAAAATCCCAAAAAATCCCCAAAAAATCCCCCAAAATTCCCAAAAAATCAAAAAAAAATCCCCAAAAAATCAAAAAAAATCCCCAAAAAATCCCCAAAAATCCCCCCAAAAATCCCAAAAAATCCCCAAAAAATCCCCAAAAAATCCCCAAAAAATTAAAAAAAAATCCAAAAAAAATCCCCCCAAAATCCCCCAAAATCCCCCAAAAATTCCCAAAAAATCCCCAAAAAAATCCCCAAAAAATCCCCAAAAATTCCCAAAAAAATCCCCAAAAAATCCCCCAAAATTCCCAAAAAATCAAGAAAAAATCCCCGAAAAATCCAAAAAAATCCCAAAAAAATCCCAAAAATTCCCAAAAAAATCCCAAAAAAATCCCAAAAAATCCCCAAAAAATCCTCCAAAAAATCCCAAAAAATGCCCAAAAAAGCCCAAAAAATCCCCAAAAAATCCCCAAAAATTCCCAAAAAAATTCCCAAAAAATCCCCAAAAAATCCCCAAAAAATCCCCAAAAAATCCCCAAAAAATCCAAAAAAAATCCCCAAAAAATCCCCAAAAAATCCCAAAAAAATCCCAAAAAATTCCCAAAAATTTCCCCAAGAATTCCCAGTTTTTTACCATCCATCCACGTGACCCTTGAGCAGCTCAGCCACCCCGAAGCTCATGGCTCCCATGAAATCGTTCCGGGACGTTCGATCCCAATCCCAAACCTCGACCGAGAGGCGCCGCTCGGAATCCCCCGGGCGGAGATTGCTGCGGAAAAACGGGAATTTCGGGAAAATCCCGGAGATCCCTGGACATTCCCAACTTTTCCCCCTTTTCCCCCCTTTCATTCCCATTTTTTCCTGATTTTTCCCGATTTTTTTTGCATTTTTTTCCCATTTTTTTCCCCATTTTTCCATGGATTTTTCCCAGGATTTTCCCCTGAATTTTCCCCCGTTTTTCCCCATTTTTCCCATTTTCCCCCTGGATTTTTCCCATTTTCCCCTGAATTTTCCCCTGAATTTTCCCCTGGATTTTCCCCTGTTTTTCCCCATTTTTCCCCATTTTTCCATGGATTTTTCCCTGATTTTTCCCTGAATTTTTCCCCCATTTCCCCCTGAATTTTCCCCTGAATTTTCCCCCGTTTTTTCCCATTTTTCCCCATTTTTCCCAGGATTTTTCCCAGGATTTTTCCCTGAATTTTCCCCTGAATTTTCCCCTGGATTTTTCCCATTTTCCCCTGAATTTTCCCCTGGATTTTCCCTGGATTTTCCCCCGTTTTTTCCCATTTTTCCCCATTTTTCCATGGATTTTTCCCTGAATTTTTCCCTGAATTTTCCCCTGAATTTTTCCCAGGATTTTCCCATTTTCCCCTGAATTTCCCCCTGAATTTTTCCCCAGTTTTTCCCCGTTTTTCCCCATTTTTCCATGGATTTTTCCCTGAATTTTCCCCTGAATTTTTCCGTGATTTTTTCCCTGAATTTTCCCCTGAATTTTCCCCTGAATTTTCCCCCATTTTTTCCCATTTTTCCCCATTTTTCCCTGGATTTTTCCCAGGATTTTCCCATTTTTCCATGAATTTTCCCCTGAATTTTCCCCTGAATTTTCCCCCCATTTTTCCCCGTTTTTTCCCATTTTTCCCCAAATTTTCCCCCCATTTTCCCCTGAATTTCCCCCTGAATTTTCCCCCGTTTTTTCCCATTTTTCCCCATTTTTCCATGGATTTTTCCCAGGATTTTTCCCTGAATTTTCCCCTGAATTTTCCCTGAATTTTTCCCAGGATTTTCCCATTTTCCCCTGAATTTTTCCCTGAATTTTCCCTTGGAATTTTCTCCTGAATTTTCCCCCGTTTTTTCCCATTTTCCCCCATTTTTCCATGGATTTTTCCCAGGATTTTTCCATGAAATTTTCCCTGAATTTTTCCCCCGTTTTTCCCATTTTCCCCCATTTTTCCATGGATTTTTCCCAGGATTTTCCCCTGAATTTTTCCCAGGATTTTCCCATTTTCCCCTGAATTTTCCCCAGGATTTTTCCCTGGATTTTTCCCCTGGATTTTCTCCCGTTTTTTCCCATTTTTCCCCGTTTTTCCCCTGAATTTTCCCTGAATTTTCCCCAGGATTTCCCCCCATTTTTCCCCGTTTTTTCCCATTTTTCCATGGATTTTTCCCAGGATTTTTCCCTGAATTTTCCCCCATTTTCCCCTGAATTTTTCCCTGAATTTTCCCCTGAATTTTCCCATTTTTCCATGGATTTTTCCCAGGATTTTTCCCTGAATTTTCCCCTGAATTTTCCCTGAATTTTTCCCAGGATTTTCCCATTTTCCCCTGAATTTTTCCCTGAATTTTTCCCCGTTTTTCCCTGAATATTCCCCTGAATTTTTCCCCAGGATTTTCCCATTTTCCCCTGAATTTTCCCTTGGATTTTCCCCCGTTTTTTCCCATTTTTCCCCATTTTCCCCTGAATTTTTCCCTGAATTTTCCCTTGGAATTTTCTCCTGAATTTTCCCCCGTTTTTTCCCATTTTCCCCCATTTTTCCATGGATTTTTCCCAGGATTTTTCCCTGAAATTTTCCCCTGAATTTTTCCCCCGTTTTCCCCAGTTTTTCCCATTTTTCCCCATTTTCCCCTGAATTTTCCCCCGTTTTTTCCCATTTTCCCCCGTTTTTCCCCTGGATTTTTCCCGTTTTTCCCCCGGATTTTTCCCGTTTTTCCCCATTTTTCCCATTTTTCCCCCTTTTTCTCTCACAAGAGGAAGGCCTCGTTCCACACCGGGTTCAGCGTCGCCTTCACCGTCCTCGTTTTCTGCTTGGAGACGTTTTTGGGATCCGGGATCAGCTTCAGCTTCACGTAGGGATCCGAGAGCCCGTTGGGATCCATGGGGATCAGGTTCCGGGCCTCGCCCACTGCAAAATCCCGGAATTCCGGGAAAAAACGGGAAAAAAAACGGGAATTTTAGCAAAAAAAATGGAGTTTTTAGGTCAAAAAATGGAGTTTTTAGAAGAAAAAATGGAGTTTTTATGGGAAAAAATGGGAATTTTTGGGGATTTGGGATCCAAAAGAGAGGTTCTGGATCCCTTCCACTGGAAAATCCTGGAATTCTGGGGAAAAAATGGGAATTGTAGGGGAAAAAATGGGAATTTTAGGGGAAAAAATGGAGTTTTTAGGGGGATAAATGGGAATTTTTTTGGATCTGGGATCCAAAAGAGAATTGGGATCCATCGGGATCAGGTTCTGGATCCCTTCCACTGGAAAATTCTGGAATTCTGGGAAAAAACGGGGGAAAAAATGGGAATTTTAGCACAAAAAATGGAGTTTTTAGGTCAAAAATTGGGATTTTTAGGGGATTTTTGGGATTTTTTAGGGAATTTTTGGGATCTGGGATTCCAGGATTTGGGATCCATGGGGATCAGGTTCCGAGCCTCACCCACTGCGGAATTCCAGGAAAAAAATGGGAATTTTGGGGAAAAAATGGGAATTTTAGCCAAAAAAATGGAGTTTTTAGGTCAAAAAATGGAGTTTTTAGGAGAAAAAATGGGAATTTTTTGGGATTTGGGATCCAAAAGAGAGGTTCTGGATCCCTTCCACTGGAAAATCCTGGAATTCTGGGGAAAAATGGGAATTTTAGGGGAAAAAAATGGGAATTTTAGGGAGAAAAAAATGGGAATTTTAGGGAGAAAAAATGGGAATTTTAGGAGAAAAAAATGGGAATTTTAGGAGAAAAAAGGGGAATTTTAGGATAAAAAATGGGAATTTTAGGGAGAAAAAAATGGGAATTTTAGGTGAAAAAAATGGGAATTTTAGGAGAAAAAAATGGGAATTTTAGGAGAAAAAATGGGAATTTTAGGGAGAAAAAAATGGGAATTTTAGGTGAAAAAAATGGGAATTTTAGGAGAAAAAAATGGGAATTTTAGGAGAAAAAATGGGAATTTTAGGAGAAAAAAATGAGAATTTTAGGAGAAAAAAATGAGAATTTTAGGAGAAAAAATGGGAATTTTAGGAGAAAAAATGGGAATTTTAGGAGAAAAAAATGGGAATTTTAGGAGAAAAAATGGGAATTTTAGGGAGAAAAAAATGGGAATTTTAGGAGAAAAAAATGGGAATTTTAGGTCAAAAAATGGGAATTTTAGGGAGAAAAAAATGGGAATTTTAGGGAGAAAAAAATGGGAATTTTAGGTGAAAAAAATGGGAATTTTAGGTCAAAAAATGGGAATTTTCTGGGTTATTCCATTGAATTTTAGGGATATTTTTTTGGGGATCATTCCCATGGAATTTCCAGAATATTCCCAGGATTTTCCCCCCCTCTTTTTCCCACCCTGGAATTCCGGGAATTCCGGGAATTCCGGGAATTCCTCCCCCCACTTTTTCCCGCCGTTCCTGGGTCGATTTTCTCGGGGTTTTTTTTATTTTAAATTTCATTTTAATTATTATTTTTCATTTTCCTTCGTGGGAATTCCCAGGAATTTGGATTTTTCCCGGGAATTTGGCGGTACCGGTGACGTGGAGCTGTTCCCCGGGAAGAGCCTGGATCCGGATCTGGAGCCGACCCCGGCGCTCGGTGTGGTCGACGCCGCAGAGGCTCGGAACGCTCTGGACGCAGCGTTTGTGCACGTTCATCTCGCAGCCTGAGGAATTCCAGAGGGTTGGGAATTGTTGGGAATTGTTGGGAATTTTTTGGGAATTTTTGGGAATTTTTTTTGGATTTTTTTTGGATTTTTTTGGAATTTTTTTGGAATTTTTTGGGATTTTTTTGGATTTTTTTGGGGTCTGGAAAGGCCCAAAACGCCCAAAAAACCCCAATTTTTCCTGATTTTTCCCACCCAAATCGCCCCCAGATCCGGGTTTTGGGATGTTTTTCTTGCAGAATGGAATTTTTAGGGAATTTGGGAATTTTGGGAATTTTTTTGGTATTTTTGGGAATTTTTTGGGATTTTTTGGGGGTCTTGAAAGGCCCAAAATGCCCAAAAAACCCCAATTTTTCCGGATTTTTCCCCAAATTCCAACTGGACGCAGCGTTTGTGCACGTTCATCTCGCAGCCTGAGGAATTCCAGAGGGTTGGGAATTGTTTGGGAATTTTTTGGGAATTTTTTGGGATTTTTTGGGATTTTTTTGGGGTCTGGAAAGGCCCAAAACGCCCAAAAAACCCCAAATTTCCCCGATTTTTCCCACCCAAATCCCCCCCAGATCCGGGTTTTGGGATGTTTTTCTTGCAGAATGGAATTTTTAGGGAATTTGGGAATTCTGGGAATTTTTTGGGATTTTTGGGGAATTTTTGGGGGGTCTAGAGTGGCCCCAAACCCAAAAAACCCCATTTTTTCCCCAATTTTTCCAGATTTTTCCCCAAATTCCAACTGGACGCAGCGTTTGTGCACGTTCATCTCGCAGCCTGAGGAATTCCAGAGGGTTGGGAATTGTTGGGAATTTTTTGGGAATTTTTGGGAATTTTTTTGGATTTTTTTTGGATTTTTTTGGAATTTTTTTGGAATTTTTTGGGATTTTTTTGGATTTTTTAGGAGTCTGGAAAGGCCCAAAACGCCCAAAAAACCCCAATTTTTCCTGATTTTTCCCACCCAAATCTTTTTTTCACAAAATGGAATTTTTAGGGATTTTTTGGGAATTTTGGGAATTTTTTGGGATTTTTTGGGGGGTCTGGAGTGGCCCAAAACCCAAAAATTCCCAATTTTTCCCCATAAAAACCCAAATTTCCCCGATTTTTCCCCCCCAAATCGCCCCCAAATCCGGATTTTGGGATGTTTTTCTCACAAAATGAAATTTTTAGGGAATTTTGGGAATTGTTGGGAATTTTTTGGGATTTTTTGGGAATTTTTTTGGATTTTTTAGGAGTCTGGAAAGGCCCAAAACCCCAAAAATCCCCAAAATTCCCCCCAAAATCCCCAAGAAACCAAAAAAATTCCAAAAAAATCCCCAAAAATTCCCAAAAAACCCCAAAAAATTCCCAAAAAAATAAAGAAAACCCCAAAATTCCCCCCAAAAAATCCCAAAAAATCCAAAAAAACCACCCAAAATTCCCAAAAAAATCCCCCAGAAATTCTGCAAAAAATCCCCCAAAAAACCCCCAAAAAATCCCCAAAATCCCCCCAAAAAATCCCAAAAAAATCCCCCCAAAATTCCCAAAAAATCCCCCCAAAATTCCCAAAAAAATCCCCAAAATTCTGCAAAAAATCCCCAAACAAATCCCCAAAAATTCCAAAAAATAATAAAAAACCCCAACATTCCCCCCAAAAAATC